ACAGCAGCGCGCCGCTTTCAACAACTGGCAAATTCGTTCAAATTAACAAGGCGAGCGTGGAAAGGTGAATGGTTCCCGTTTGTTTTTTACCGCACACAGCTTTTTGATATGGGTTAGAGTTAGTTAAAGGCCCTGAGCCTTTATGTAGGCTAATCTACATTCTAGATATGTTATTTCTGCTTAATCTTTTTCATCTCTGGTGGGACACGGCGCCTCAATGAGCACCCCACATTGTTCCCTCTTGTCGGCAAGGAGTTGAGCCTCACCGCTCAAGTCCATCGTCAGAATAAAAGGTCCTTCTTTTAGTCTCAGTGGAAGCTTTGGACGTGATCTGCCTCCATTTAATACACGTCTCAGCCATCGCAGTCATTTCTGTCCTTATTTAAGTGACACTGTTCGTGCTGTTTCTGCTGTTATAAAGATAGACTTTTCTTTCAGGCCATGCCAGTGGCACGGCTCTGGGGATGTCAATATCCGACTATTTTGGTCACGACTGCAATATCTGAAAAACTATTGGATGGATTGCCATGAAATTTTATCGAGGATGAATCCTGCTGACTTTGGTGATCCCTTAGCTTCTCCACTAATGCAATGGTGATGACATTTAGGTTTTGAGTATAATGATTTGACAAATATTGGATACATTACTTTTACTAACTTCACACATCCAGGTGTCCATAGGGATGAACTGAAACCACTTTGCTGATCACATTTCAACACAGGTAGAGAGGATATAAGTGATAGGTGGTTTCGTAAGGCCCAGAATGTCTCCCCTCAGCCACAGACAGTGTTAGGATTGATAAATTAGAAAGTTTGGATCAGTCAGAGGGATGCTTCAATCATCATTGGCTGAAAATTTTCATAATGCAAAGCCTTTAAGTGGAGAAAAGAAGCAGAAGAAAATGACAATAAATGAAATTATTAAAATGTAGCAATACTAGCTAAGATTAATGCAGGATAATGATGCAATAATAGCCGATGGTGGACTTGTAGACTTGAATGTGCGCATAACGCATAAATGGCTATTTGTCCTTGTAAGAGGTAAAGATAATGGATGAATGGGTGGATGGAATTTGAATGGCAAGCCAGATGTAGTATACAAGTATGTAAAAGCACAAAAACTGTAATAAAAAAATAAAGTCCTGCATGGAAATAATCTTATTAAGTTAACAGTAGTAGCAGCAAAATATAAAAAAAGTATTAAACTTAAAGTACTGGTTTGGTCCCTCGGACTGATATAATACTGTATGAGAAATCATTATATGAGTGTTCAAGCAGCGTTTTACTGTCCGACCGCCAAATCCTAGCCTGACCCAGGGCACCAAAATGGCTAGAGTCCACCCGACATGGATCTAAATCATCATAGCATCGTCCTCAGAATAAATTCATCTTACTGTACATTCTTAACACATATCCTGTGTGTGTGTGCGTGTTTATGAAGTATGACACTGATCTGCCTCTGCCAGTTTTACAGCTATGCTTCCATAATCCCCCATCCTAATCCACTGCCTATGTGTGTATCTGTGTGTGTGATAATCTGCGGCTGTGTGTTTGTGTGCGTTGTCTCTCTATGTCTGTATAAGGCCTTTTATTTAAGCTTTTGGCTTTCAGAGGGCCTCTCTTTCCCACGCCTTCCACACTATATGTAATACCATAGACAGCCCTCCAGTCATTCACCCCTCTCCATCGAACCACTCAACACAATGACATGGACAGAATCACTCAGCACTCCACAGTCGATATCTCCATTACCATTACAGTCAACAGAGTAAACACAGTGAAAATTGAATGGATATGGGTAATATTGCTTTTAAATGAGCTGATGAAATGGATGCAGTGATGATGGGAGAGAGTTCAGAGAGTGGATGAACATGTCGGAGCAACTGAAGGACAGAAGAGCAATGCAACAAATCAAAGTTACTCTCCTCACAATCTTCATGTCACGTCCTTATTACAAAGAGGGGAAGTATTCCTATTGATCATACAAAGGATATCTGGCAAGTACAGAATTAATTATTGTGTTTGATTTTTTCTCTTTAAATGTATAAATGTTTGTTGTTTTACCTCCACTAACGAGGCTCTGTTTTCATCATGGGTGTGGCTACAGGTGCGTCACAACAGATAGTGATGCTAGTGACAGGCTGCATTTCATCCTGGTGTGAAGTTACTCTTTAAGAGGAGTTTTAAGACTTTTATTAGAGATTAAAGACAGAGGTGGAGGGAAAGGAGACGTGTAGAAGAAAGAAAGGAGTAGAAAGAAGGATCATATAAAAATGACCAGCTCTCCTCAGAGTGCTCGATAGTGAATAGAGAGAATAAGAGGTTGATGAGTGGGACCCTCAGCAATGATAATCCAATTAGCACTGTACTGCATGTTAAGTCTCCACTAATGACTGATGTGTGTGTATGCGTGCGTGTGTGTCACATGTGTGATCATACGCAGTGTGTATGTGCGTATGTGCGTGTGTGTGTCTGAGTCCTTTTAGGACCATCCTAATTATCAGATGTGACTCACGTGAGGGTAATTACAGCATCTTAGACGGAGGGAACAAGGCTACGAGTGACCCAGAAATCCACAAGCTAATGAAGCGATAAGACACACACACACTTTCATTCTTTTTCTCATTCTCACCTCACGCAGAGAAAGACAGGAACAGAGCAGCGGAGAGAAAGAGACAGACAAAAAGACAGAGAGGGGAACAATGTTTCCCTCAGACTACATTAGAAAGCCAGGAGATTTGGGATGAGCTGTCAAAAGATGCCCCTTCAACGGCTTCAAGCTCAGCCCTCGTCCTAGAACTAATCTGGCTGCTCTCTGTTGTCTGTCATATCTGGCCACGGCTCCACATCACTGTGGTCCTCTTCCACAGGCACGGATTAAGCTTGGCTAGCCGAGACTAAATTCTCTATTGAAGAATCATCTAGGTGTAATCCCTGTGTGAAGCCAGCCCTGTATGGTACAGCATATTGTATCTGTCACAATGGCTATTATTCACAGGAGGCTGCACTTTCTCTGGAGATACAGGAGACAAGCGTGACAAGGGGCTGCTGTGTATCGGTTTATTGGAGCCTCAGGTTTGCTTTAAACTGTCACGTAATGTAAGATCAGTTCATTTAAGGCGGCCTCCTGGGAACACATCAACTAGTTCAGACAGGTTGTTTCATACCTCAGTGATTAAAATATTCGAATGTTAATACACTCACACTTTTTTCATATTTCCAATTTCAACATTTATTTCACTGAAAGTTCATGAGAAATAGATGATATTTCACAGCAGCCATATAACAATCATAAATGTACTTTTTTTCATCCTGCTTATCCACTAACAATTAAGTCATGTTAACAAAAACACGTCATCCAGTGAGAAATTGCTCGAATTACTACAACATTATCTCTGAGAAAATGGAACTTAAATCCACCAAGGCTCAATAGTTCCCTTAAATTCAATCAAGCCACACTGCAGTTCTCTTAATGTGTGTGTTTCTTTCCATTGAGATTTTTGACCCATACCTCATCCAAGTTTCATGGTTATCCATTAATTATTTTTTTTGTGCTTACAAACAAACCAAGAAACCCATGATGTTATTTATAAATGGAATGTCTATGGGATGTGCACCAGCTGCTGTGCACAAAACATATAGTGTCTATAAAAAAGAACATACAGTCATGGAACAGACCTGAATTTTCTCTAATAAGCAGTTACCATCGGTTCCAGATATACAGAGATTTAGGAAAGCATGGATCAAATATGCTGCTGCTGCTGCAGCATCATCATCATCATCATCATCATCATCAATACTAACTTAGACAATGGCATCCATCCATGTTACAATGTGGCGTTTAATACAGTTTTGTTGTAAAGAATCAGTATAGAGAGAGAGAGAGAGAGGAAAAAGTCGAATAAAGTTCAACTCCACAAACAAGCCAATGAAGGTTTCAGCCAAGACAGCATGGGGGGCTTGTGACCCTTAAAACAAGGCTGCAAGTCATGTCATGATGTGGATGCACTTCTACCAAGTTTTCAACTGCTTTCATCAAGTTTTAAAGGCCTGAGGATGTAAAACTGTCAGACAAAAGAAAACAGTTTTTTTCTCATCCTCTTAATAATCTCAGGACCCCAAGATCCATTTTGCAACCTGTTGTGGTGTCTTGACCCTCCGGCTGATAACTACTTCCTTGGAAAACAAATATCAGCAACCTGAAGTTGCTTGGTGATTTCAAACCACTCTGCCTTCACCCTTTCCCTGTGCTCGCAGAGCCAGAGGGCATCTCTCCTGCTTGTACCAGTTTGCACAACAGCTCCATTGATGCTGCAATTTGAGTGATGAGTGATACGCAGTGCGACCCAGTCATGGAGTTGGTCTGTTTGGCAGAGCAGGTTACCCTCAGCCCACACTTCAGCCATCACAGGTTCCCTGTCTCTGTCGAGCCTACGCAGACTAAACGTGCATGTGTGTCTGTATGAGTGTGTGTGTGTGTGTGTGTGTGTGTGTGTGTAGGTACATGACTGTGCGTTAGAGTAAGTTATCTTGATCAAATCCCCAATTACACAGATGAGTGTCTCTTCAATGCTCCACTCTTTGTGCGGATACACAAACAAATAAACATGAACGTCACAGAATCTGGCGCACACACCCACTCATGCACACGAAAAAGCAGAAACAGACACACACACGCATGAACACACTCACACAGGCCTGGAGGCACCAGGCACTTCATTTCCTATTCCACCCCCTCTCCTCAGCACCCTCATATTCCTCTCTGGCCTCCCCAACGCTCAACCCTCAGTCACTATAGCAACCTCACATGGAGATGCTGGCAGCCAGAGGGCTAATCATGTCATCACAACATCTGTCAGAAAAACACAGACACACACACACCCACAAACATGTACACAAGTGTATACACAGATGCATCCCCAGCAGTGCTTGGACGCAGATGTCCGTGCATTGAAACACACACACACGCTCTAAAATAAGGTCAAAGATGGCTGCCTTACCTTTGCTCATGGTTCATCCTGGAACAAGAAGTTGAAACGTGGGAGCTGAAATGGAAGAGGTTTTGTTAACTGTCTGCACACAAGCTCAATGATCAATCTACAACAAAAAAACATATTGACTTTTGTTGTTTCTTTCACTGTTTTCTTTTTTCTTTTCCAGGGAAAGTCATTTGCTTGGAAACCTGTCCAGGATGAGACAGAGAGATTAATGAAGGAGGGCCTGCACAGGGATTCTCTGCTGAAAATGGGCCAGTGAAGTCTGAAACATGCCTGCTGGGTATGTTGCTCTGCCGCCACCTGTAGACTAGACCAGGTACTCCAACTGCATGAAATCTCAGCACGGTGACCTCGGGAAATTCACCCAAGGAACTAGGAAAAGTGAGGAGTAAAGCTGTGTCGTGCAAAGTAAGTTACAGCTGCAGTGGATAGCTGCAGACCTGCAGTGTTCCACGTGCTGTCTGATTCAAAATCAATCCCCTCGATGGGGTCTCACTTCCTTTACTGTACAGTGCAACAGACTCCCAGTGAAGCGCGGCGCTCGGCTCAGTCTACTGTGTGCATCATCTAACAATACTTTCAAAGAGTTCCATGAAATCTATTTTTGTTTCTTTTTCTTTGTGTGTTTTGAAGTTTGGCAGAGCTTGCAACCGAAATGAGTCACACACACAAACTCAACTCAAACTCCAGCCAGCACCAGAAAAAGGAAAGTGCCACTCAGAGTAACACACACACACAGCCTACGTGCAGCCTCTGCATCTTTTAACAAACCAAAGAGGGGTGAGCGAATGCTTTATATTTAGAATTATGACGCTATGCCAACTTGAGCGCTAACATGAGAGGAAAGCTCAGCGATGCGTTGGGGAGCTGCATGTTCAATAATGTATCACAGGCAGGGTTTTAAAAACAGCTGGGGATCGCCGCTCTGTCTTGTCCCGTCTGCCGGTCTGTCTCTTTGCATGTCTTTCCTTCACGCTGTCCGGTGCGACGGCAGCAGATTTGCCACTCCTGTGGGGAGCTGATGTTTGTTTAAACTTTCATCCTGTCGGCCGTGTCTTCACTCGCTCCTCCACGTCCCCAAGGACGAGTCTTTCTCTGTGTTCTGCCTTCACTCTCTTTCTCTAAGAGAGATCCCCAACACTTCTGATTTCTGTTTTGTACTCACTCTCTTCCTCTGTTCACACGCCAAAGCCTTTTAGAAACAGTAGAAGAATCCTGTGTATATATGTGTGTGTGTGTGTGTGTGTGTGTGTACATGTTCTGTTTTTGGAGGTCACAACACGGCCATCAGTGCATACCTGTCTCAGTGCACACGTCCACTGTGCTGCTTCATCCTTGAGGAATGAAAGAGCAAGAAATCTCCAAAGAATTCTCCTGCAAGAGAGAAGAAGAAAGAGAGTGAAGAGGGGGAAGAAGAGGAAAAGTAGGGAAGGGATTAGGAAAAGAGTCTTAGCCTTTCAGAACTCAATGCTCTTAAAGCCAACTCTGGCTTTCATACTAAATCCTAGTGTTTGTGTCTGCTACCACTTGCCTTTGCATCTGTGTGTGTGTGTGTGTGTGTGTGATAGCATTCAGACCGAAGCTCCCTACGTGCACCCTGAGTTCAACTGCTGCAGTGGAGTTGTTCCAAAAGCAGGTTGGGTCAAATGGACAGTTCTAGCTCAACTCCTATACCGGGAGCTTTTAAGGCTTTTAAGGCTTCCATGCCAGCTTCTTACAAGCCGAACGTGGGGATGTTAGGGGATGAGGGGCGGAAAAGCCGGAGTGGGAAAAGCATGCAGCACCTCAAGTATGATGATAAGAATACACTCTGACAGATCAAGAGGGGTTGAGTTAGGACGCATGTGGATACTAGTGCAGAGGCGTGTGAAACGTAAGCAAAGAAAGACTGTATACACATTCTCACACACACACACACACACAACTCCAGATGTTACCCCTGTGCATTTTGCAACTGCCGTGACCCTGTGTTTGTTATTCTGAATTCTTCTGCCATCTATGGAGTGCAGCGGAGCACACTGAGTCGGAGCGAAATAAAAATCACTTCGCTGGTGGAGAGTGAAATGAGGATGGGTCTCAAAGGATCGTGGGCAGTCGCACAGTTATTGTCTTTGCTCTGACATCCATCCTTAGCTGAACCTTGAGGCCCTAAACCCTCAGCAGCAGTCCTGTGAAACACATATTGTTGCAGGGCACTTTTAAAACTTTTCATTTATTTAAAGAATCAATTAGGAGAAATTATGACATGTTTTAATTCCTGCCCCCACTTTGCAGAAGGCTGGGACACCATGATATAATGGGGTAAAGATAACAGGGAGAGCACTGCTGATTATATTAAGATGCTTGGAAAGATTGTGTCACTGGCAAATGGAGCAAGGTGTTGTAACATAGAATCACCACTAGTCTGTGCTGTTACACCATTCCTGCCTTTTGTGCTGCTGACCGACTTACTGAAGAAGGGCAGAGTCGATGATGGCAGCATATATTAACGGCAGCATCTGATGATCTTGAGATCATGAGTCGGGTTTATTGCAAATGAAAACTGGGACATAAGTCATTATTGCTGCTTTTTTAAAATCGTGATCACCCACAGTTTTCAGGTTGGGGCATCAACTTAGCTTTTAATGCAAAAATAAATTGAAGAAGAATCTCTTTGCTTTTGCTGCGCTGATCTGACGTGTGATAGCTTTCACTGCTGCCTGTGCTTGCATATACGTGCGCTGTGAAAAATGTATGGGTAAATGCGAGTTCACACTTTATTTTCAGCTGATCACACGTTCCTCGTCGGGATCCTCTCCAATCACGCTTTGTGTTTCTTCTGTAACGATCTGACAATAGCTGGAGAAATCCGCTGGGTGGAGGATTATTATAAGCATCAGTTACCTTCTATTGCTGGCTCCACTTGCCCTCTCCATCACATTGTTTTCCTGTTAGGTTTCAGTGCTCCCTGGTTGGAAACCACCTTGTTAGTGAGTGTGCTTCACCTGTGCTGGCCCAGCAGAAGTAATTAAAGCCTTGGCAGCCTTGTGCGGGAGAGGAGAAGTGTTTGGAAACTAGATAATTTGGAAAGCTCATGTTGGCGCAAGCAATTTCGGTTTACAGCTCTCGCACAATGAGCTGGGAGAAGTTATGTTTATCCTCTTTTTTTTTGGTAGACACCGCATTACTGTAGTTTCCTCCCCTGATTTTCATGTGATTAAGTGGCACCCGTGGTGAACGTCTGACTGCAAACCCTTTTAGCTGCTTTGAATCTGCGCAAGGCCTCTCGTGGGAGCCCTTCAGAGCAGCCCTTGAATCCCTTTTATGTTCATGGCTAAAGTGACTCTTCAGTGAGAGTCAAAATGTTGATATTTGCCTCGTCTGGACATCTCCTTCAAGGTTTCCCGTGTCGGCAGAAACGATGTGGGGCATTTTAGGTCACAGAAGAAGGCGTTTTCGCATCCCGCTTTCACACCACGAACCAAACTATCTCCGCACAGCAATGGCCCAGATATTTTTTTTCTTTTTTTTGAAGTCTAAACCTAACCAGGGCAGCCCAGTGGAACTTTGGTTTACTTTGGTTTGGCTTCACTCAGCATGTGTGAAACACTCTTCTTAGGTTTTCTGTCAACTTGACTTAACATCAAGGCAAGTGGGTAAGCAGGGTGGCGGGGTGGGCTTCAGATGACTGTCTCTTTAAGCCACACTTAAAATGTAGAGGGTCGCAGCAGGACGGCACATAACACTGACATGATTACCTACAACCTTTATCTCCAGACACAACCTTCCTTGAGCTGCAGTGACTCGTCTGACCATGGCGGTTTTCAAGTATGAAACATTTCAAGACCACATGCTCATCAGCGGAGTAATTCTTTAGAAAAACACATTACAGTGGGAAATTCAATCAGTTTGCTCAGGATGTCGAGGTAAAGATGGGAAACAGGGACCCTCAGAGCAGCGTGACACAGTTTGGCGTAAACAACTTCAACTTGTTCACCAAATCTGTGTGTGTTAGTGTGTGTGGTGTTTGAGGGGTTTTCACAAAGGGATAGGCATCTAATCTGCCCCTACCAGGAGGGTTGAGCATTTTTCAGAGGATACATGATGCTTCAAAAGTGGCTCGCTGTTCTTGAACTTATGGAGACTGGGAGAGAAAGGGCCTTCAGAGGACTGAGGATTACTCAATTACAGACGCGTCCATTGTGTAGATTTAGTCTCATCCCATCCGCACACACACACACACACACACACACACACACACACACACACACACACACACACACACACACACACACAGACACACACACGCAGGATACAAATTTCCCTCACACTTCAAATCCTCAACTATAAAAAACTATTAGCTCCACTTAGAACCTAAAGTAGGATAAGTACGGCGACATCTTGCATTTTGAATCAAGTCAGATCACAGTACTTCAGTGTGCAGTCATATTTCCACTTTAAACACTAGAGCAACAACATTTCTTTGCCTATATTGAGATTCTTGATGAGAAACTTATCCAGAACACAACCCTGAATGAGAAATCACAGAAATGTGTGAAAAATCCACACACATCAAACAAACTCATACGGAGAGAAAATGGTTCATCTAACCTTTTCTGGATGTTAAATTGAGGTTAGATCAGAGATAAGGACAATTTATAGACTCTGTGACTGTGTGACATTAATTAAGTCTGCGAGGGTCCGTGTGGACCCCTGAGCAGATGTCCTCGTATAGTCCCAGGTTTGTGACCATGATGACTGTGCATACAGTAGAAAAGAAATCTGGTTACTAGTTTCATGCGCTGTTTATAAGTACTGTACGTTTTCTGTTTGTTCTTATGCTTGTTTAAGGACCACATTGAAGATGAGATGATGTACAACCATATCCTGGTAATTTGTTTTTATTATTAATACGGTATTCCCTCTGTTTAGTCCTCTTCTAATCGAGCTGTATAAATCAAACACAGGAGCTCCTCTTCCGACTTTCAAGAGGTTGCGATGATGTTTTCTGGTGTGTATTTGTATCTGTGTGTGCAGAGACCGTGATTATATAAGCACAATCATTGTTGATAGCAGGTGTCTGCATTTTAGCAGCGTTCCGACAGACACTGATTACATAACTTGCCCACTGGCCCCACAGGTAGTAATAATAATAAAACTAATTTGGCTCATTTATGTGTATCGGTGAAAGTGTGCATATTTATTTAATAAAATTTTTTCCAGTTTGTTAAATACTTTCATTGCTTAGACGCTTATGTGAGAGTGTCTCCTCTGTGCAGCAGCAGAGTCGAGTCTCAAAACAGAGAGAGGAGTCTCATGACATTCGACCAACAGGAGGAAGATTTGGCAAACTTTGTGTGCTAAAAGTGGACACAAGACAAAACACGTCTAATCTACACAAACCTTCATGTTCACCACAAGTGTGAGGCGGCCCGCAGCAAAATCTAACATCAAAGTGAATAGTGAAGGTCAAAAGTGTCCATAAACAAATCATTTACTGTTTTACTCAGAAGAAGATTTCTCCCTGAAGATGATTTCTGTAACAACATCAAAAGTTATCTCCCATAAAGCTGAAGGTCTTTTAAAAACATTTTAAAAATTGATTGAACAGTGAGAAATAGAAGTTTTAGTCACAAGTACTGTACCGAAGATTGTACACTTCATCCTTAATAAAAACTGTGTCTTTGTTGAACCCCTGATGCTTTGCAACATGCCTCCATTCACGCATCCATGCGTCATCTATACCCCTTGTTGTTTAAGGGCAGCAGGGGGTTGACATTGGAGCTGAGGTAGACCTTGGACAGGTTGTGAATCGCAGGGCCAACACAGAGACTTCCATACCTACGGTAAACTTAGAAACTTCCATTAACCTAAGCTGTCTTTACAGTGTGGGAGGAAAATGAAGTACCCTGGTGAAATCTCCACACAGAAAGACCCTGGCAAACCATCAGCTTGGAACCCAAAATCTGCTGCTATTTTTACTCCATTGCTTAATGTTGTCTCAACTTTCTGTCTGAAGTATCCAAAAAAAAAAACTGTTTTCACACTACAGATGAACCAAGCCATGATCCGGACCGAGACCAGCTCTTTTAGTCGAACAAAATTTGATTCCGTTGGTCTGGACCATTGTCCAAGGCACCTTTCACACCTGTTAAACTGAGAAGTCCACAGGCTCAGACCAAACAAGGTTGGAAATGTTTGTACAAGCAGACACTAGTTTCATGTTTACTGGTATAGGAAGACAAACTACAGCAGAGCACGGCTGACAGCAATGAACAAAATAGTACCATTCACATAAAGGCAGTGTAATGACACAGCTTACACAGAGGGTACAAAACTCTCTGTTGTAAAACTGTATCCTACATGTCTTTGAGAAATAATCCTATTTTTTCAAC